AGAACCATTGTTAACGTAAATAGAAACTCATTGTGAACAGATGGCCAAGGGTGATTATTAATAGTCTCCGCCATAAAATGATGAATCAATCACAAAGGCTCTAGTGTGCTTGCTTCAAGTTCATTTATCCAGAACTCAACCTCTCAACTCTTTGTGTTGCTCTCCCATAATCAATTAAGCGAAAGAAGTATTCACGTACTCTTTCACACGAGCAAATTATTCGCTGAGGACCACTTCTTTAAGCTGTTTGTTTTTGGTTCCCCCAGGTGCATCAATGGCCAGTTTGTTTAAAATTTTTTGAAAAAAAAAAAAAGCCAGTGATTTTAAATGGAAGGAGTAAGGGGGAGTTGAGGAGTAACTTCGATTACTCCTCCTTCGTTGGGTTTAATTTGTAGACGTCCAGATTAGTTGAGGCAGAGTGGCTCATTAGGCCACTTGAGGATTCCTCTGAAATCAAAAAACTAACTAATTTGTCTTGACATTTTTCTCCGAAATTTCAATACTTCTATTCTCTTTTCAAAATATTCAGAGATATTTTTAAATAATAAAAAATTGATTAATGTCTAAATTGTATTTAAAAAAACAACTGAAAAATTGAGCATCAGACAAAGGCGAGGGCCGTTCAATTTTTGGACTCACCCATCTATTATTCGCAGGTGATGTGATATTGACATAGTTGATCACGTGCTTCAGTCAATATAACGGAAATTAATTGCGTACTACTTATTAACTGAACTTTTCTTAAACAAACTTTACAAATATTTGCATACATGAAAAGATTAATTAAGAATATAATAATTATATATAATATAAAATTTTTACTGATTCCATATAATATGACCCGCTTCAGAATATAATCATGAGCATGAGCCAACCTAATTTTACAATAGTTGATAAGGAAGCAAGGACTTCCAAAGGCATTCTTTGGAAAATTAGTAATACTACCTCTCATGCTAATTATAAAATCTCATTATAGTTATACAAATGAGGTGTTATAATTAATATTAGAGGCAGTATTATAATTATGTAAAATTAACCAAGATTTGAATCTCATAAAAAGAGATATATACGTTTAATACTGGACAATACTTCAAATTAAAGAAGATGGTGAACGACAATGGCGAACCCAACTACGTCATCAAGCTCATCACGACACCCACTGCTACCATATCGGAGAAACTACAGTGAACAAGAGGTCGAATCTTATTACAAAACTGATTTTCGCATAACAATATAAATCCTTTGACCTTAAAATCAACCTTTCGTTCTGATTTCCTGTTATCCACATTGTCCTCATCTACGTTTTGCATAAAAGTGACCCACGGAAAAATAATTAATAAATTAATATTTTGCGAAGAAGTAATGAAAAAAAATGAAGGTGACGTATATCCATTAAAAGATAAAATTCATATATCTTAAAACAAAGCATTAAAAACAAATCTTTTCATCATAATAATTCTCACCTTTTATTTAAAAAATTAGAAATTTTCTCCCTGATAAATCAGCTCTCTCTTGCGAGGCTCTTGTTTAGCTTTGTGGACCATGGTTTTGAATCACGTGGTGCTATAATATCCCTCAAATTGGCTTATAAAATAAGGCTCTCTCTCTGCTCGTCTCTTCATGCACATCAAGACTCAAACACAGAAATCCCTTAGAGCGAGAAGATGGGTTTGAACAAGAAGGCGATGATGATGAAGGTGGCCTGTGTGGTTCTTTTTCTGGTGGCCTTCCCTGCAACCGTGGAGGCTGGTCGCTTCGACGCAGACACCTTCCTGTCTCAGATGTTTAAGAACAATGGCGAGCCCAACTACGTCATCAAGTCGACCACCACGGCCTGCTGCAACGCCTGTCTCTGCAACAAGAGGAACCCACCTCAGTGCCACTGCCAAGACGTCGGAAAAAGTTGCCACTCGGCTTGCCAGTTCTGCATCTGTGCTTTGATTTATCCTCGTCAGTGTCACTGCCTTGATACCACCACCTTCTGCTATCCTCCTTGCTCCTCTTCTGCTAAGCCTCAGATGATAGTAGCAAACTGATTCTGATCATTAATGGTGTCCAGGCCTATTAATAATCTACTACTTTTATTAGGCTTTGCTTCTATCTATTTCTATTTACGTGAATGTGAACCTTCCCTTATAAAATAAGCCATCTCGTGCCTTGTAAGCATGCTTCCTGTTTGCTTTTTGCAAACCGGTTTATTACTAGCAAGCACTTGACATTCTTCTATCATTATTTTCCATCTCTTTGCATCATTATACCTTTTGACTTTGGTTTGCCATTTAGTTTAATTTGTTTTAAATTTAATATTAAATATTTGAAGGGAAAGTAATAAGGAAAATCATTATAACGTCCCAGAAAAGAAATGTAACGACACTAAAACTTGTTATTGCTTGTTGTTTACTTATATATTGTGGAATTTTTTGGTGATTATATATTTCTTTTTTCAGATCTTATAGTAATTTTCCTAAAGCAATATCAAGGGATCCGTAAATTTAACAGGAGTTTAATTTTTCAAAACTGCTTGAGAAGGCCCAAAGACATGAGAGAGTGAGTGAAACACGAAAGTACCATTGTTAACGTAACTAGAAATCCACAGTGAACAGATGGCCAAGTCCTATGATTAATTGTCTCGGCCATAAAATGATATGAATCAATCACAAAGGCTTTACTTGCTTCAAATTCACTTATACCCTGAAGTCAACATCTCTACTCCTCTTGTTGGTCTCCCATAATCAATTAAGCAGAAGAAGTATTCATGTACTCTTTTACATGGGCAAATTATTCAGTAAGGACCACTTCTTTAAGTTGGGAGAAGTAAGAGGGAGTTGGAGAGAGTGAAGGGGAGTTGAGGAGTAACTTTGAGGTGAATAATGTATTTTTAGGTTGTTTTCATAACTCCTCTTTCATTTGTTTAATTCATAGAAGTCTAGATTAGTTAGTGGGAAGTAGAGGGGTGTTTCAACTCATCTTCCCCTCCATTTCTCTTCACCTCCCATCTCAGCCGTAAGATTGCAACTTGAACAGTCTAGATTTAATATTTTATAAAATTATGATTAGTGTTAATTTTTTAATGAATAAATAAATACAATTAAACTACTAAATTTAAGTCATGATAATATAAAATGATAATAAAAATTATTTTATGTAATATGAAATTTAGATCATTCAAATTATAATCTTAATGATTGAGATGGAATGTGTATGGAAATGAAAGAGAAGAGAGGTGAAGAGTCTCACCTGGTAGAGTGGCTCATTAGAGGAGGGTAACAAGATCCTGCCATTATTAGTAGGTGAGATTGAACTTACATCATGGTGAAATATAAGTTGCATCTTCGCTAACTGAACCATTTTGCAGGCCCCTTGTAGATTTCTCTTAAACCAGAAGACAAAGGCGTGTATTTTCTCTTGACATTTTTTGGGAAATTTTAATACCTCTATTGTATTTTCAAAATATTCACAGATATTTTTGAATAATAAAAAATTGAGTAATGTCTAAATTCTATTGAAAAACCAGAAATATTGAGCCCCAGATACAGGCGTGGGGCGTTCAAGTCAGCCATGCCTATCCCCACTTGATGGATACATAATATAGGATGTACCACATACGGCAATAAAGATTCTTCACCATAAATATAATCGAATCAATTTTCGGAGTCACATAGTGACATTGACGCAATTGATCACGTGCTTCAATCAATATATCCACGAAAAAATTTGCATACTACTTATTACTCAACTCTTTATGAAAAAAAAATTTACAAATATTTGCATGCATAAAAAACTAAATTAAGAATATAAAAATCATCTCTAATAACGCGCGCGCGCGCACACACATATATATGTATATATAATGACCTCCAAAGGCATTCTTTTGGCATCTCAAAGAATTGGTGATATTATAATTATGAAAAGCTAACCAATGGAAGTTGTATCTATAATGACTAGTGCTATTTTTCAGACAAAATTACGTAGGTATGTCGTTTTTCTTTTAGAACATTCACAAATATTTTTCAAAAATTAAAAGAATTTATACAATTTTCAGAAAATTCAAAATCGGGTCTGTTTAATTAATTAAGCATTTTAGATGAGATTTTGTTAAATTTTTAAAATAGATGAAAATTTTCTTTAATTTAATAAAATTCAAATGAAAGATGAGTGAATTAGTTTTTATCTTATGGGCACCCCCACCTGGTATTTATTCTTTTTTATCTACACTCTTGGAGAAACATATATTATTTTTAAATCCCAATAACAAAATGTAATTTTTGAATTTTGATAATCTAAAGCACAAATTAGTTGTGTTCAATAATTCCTTCATTTCGTAAAACTTTATGTGAAAATGTTGTTGAAATATATTAAAATTCGTTTATTAAAAAACAAAACAAACTTCTAAAATGGATATCCAAAATGAGACGAAGATAAATGAGCAATTAAATCTCAAGCACAAAATGAGGTATCACGAAGCTGCACTTGCTTCCAAAAGTCACCTATCCAAATCTCAAAATCAAATCTCAACCGTCCATGTTGTTTTCCATTTCCCTTGCTTTTGTTTTCCTTTTCCTTCACATGTGTATTTCTAATGAATGAAATCATTTCTACACAGCACCACACTCTTTTCTCAAAAAAAAAAAAAACTTATCACTCTTGATACTTTCTCCCTTTATTATAATTGCAAACTTGGGTTATAAACAAAATAATAACTCACTCAAAATTTTCTTGAGGCATTACCCAATAATTCCTTCGTTTTATTGAAGCATATTCAAACCTGCTAATGGCCGGTGGAGAACGAAGTGTTTCAAAGATAATGAAAATTAGAATTATAAAAACTAATTTAAATGAAATTAAATTAAGTGAGAGATGAAGCTAAAACTAAAGAAGTAGAAAAACAGAAGATAATAAACTGATATTTCAAAATTCAAACTCAATAAAAACATTAGGATAACCCTCAAGATGCCCCTATAAATAGCCCTGGCTTTCTTATGGCCTCTCCACAAAGCAAAAAGGAAAGAAGAGTTAAGAACAGATGGCCGTGATGAAGCTTGCTCTGGTGCTGTTCCTAATGGCCTTCACAGCCACGGCAGTGTCAGGTCGCCGTGATCCAAACACTGTGCTGGCTCAGGCAATGATGAACGGCGGTGAGGCCAATTACATGGTGAAATCCACCACAGGTGCCTGCTGCAACAACTGCACCTGCACAAAATCAGACCCACCCCAATGCAGATGCAATGATGTTGGAACTACCTGCCACTCTGCTTGTAAGAATTGCATCTGCCTACTCATCTGGCCTCCCTCTTGCAGTTGCTATGACGTCACCACTTTCTGCTACGACCCTTGTCCTTCCTCCTCCAATTAATGCTAGTCATGCCTCTTCTCATCATCAATAATAATTAATATGATAATTATGGTGTTGTAATCTTATATCTATGTGATTTCTGTGTACGTACGTATGTGAAACTATATATCTTAAATAAATGAAGTATCGTGTGTGCCTTGCGTGCTTTGCAGTTTGTTCTTTGCAAACTCCTTTGCTTGCAGGCTCATATGATCTGTACGTGTTCCTTGGTGATCCAAACACTCTAATTTTCCGTTCTTGGGATTTCATTCATGTCACATTTGTTATAATTAACTAATTTATTTGATTTTTGTTAATTAAGTCTAATTAATTAAGTAGTTCTTATATTAAAGAATGAAGGGAGGATTTGATGACCTGGTACATTAGGAACAAATTGTTGTATATATCATTTAGTGGTGCTGTTTGTGAATCTATATTAAGCCTTGTTTGCTCCAGTGTGGACTAAAATTTCGCACAACACAATGAGAAATGAACATGACATGTATAAACCTTCTACAAACATTTAATGAAAATGGGCAACCAGCAAGACCATGTACATAGTTTATAAATAATGCAATGTATTAAAAATTTTATATGATATATATAATTTTTTTTAATGAGGTTGCTAGAATTTTACTTCGAAATGGAAATGGTATCCGTTTAATGGGGTTGCTAGAATTTTACTTCGGATCGAAAATGATAGGACTGGCTGTAGAGGGGGAATTGGCTAATTCCCTTTTTCAGGTTTAATGAATTTTCTCTTTTGAGCAAAACTTTCTTTTTGTTGAAAGGTCTGGAAACCTATTTTTAACTTGTCTTAAAAATACTTCGTTGTACACTTTTGGTTGCATGGAAAATTACTCTTTCAATGAAATTTTTTTAACAGGTGCAGCTGATAGAGAGGGCTAGATTAGAAAGATATTATAAATTTGAAGGATAAAATGAATTAAAATTATCTGTTTGCAAACTCGAATAATAGAGAAAAATGTGTGGATGCCACAGAGCCACAGAGGTGAGATTAGCACAACCCAGCCATGAATTGTTATCTGGCATCGTCGTAGTCACGTGGACCACGTCTATGAATATTTCATCAATATACGGACAAAACACACATGTAGCATATGAATTGTTACCTGGCCCGTGCAATCTTTTACAAAAGTCAATTTCATAAAAATGCATAAATAAAATTATATATTTTAAAAATATGGGTCAAGTTTCTTATAATGGATATAAAGAACTTAATGCAGATATTGTTCTTTTAAATGCTACTTTAAATTAACTTTTAAAATGACATATAAATTGAAACAATTATTTCAAAAAGACTTATGCTGTGAAAGAGGGATGTAGCATTTTGGAATGGATTAAGATTATATAAAAATGATTAATTCATTATTAAAATTCTAACATGACAATTGCTGCGAAAGCCAGTAATATTTTAATTAAGCACGTTGTTCGCGTTGGGGCAAAAGCATAACACATGGTCCTCCTTCACCAAAAAAAAAAAGCATAACACATGGAAGGACGAGATTCGGAGATAAAAAGAGTTGGGGCCCGGAAATCGTAACCAAGGGTTGAGATTTTGAATTAGTTAATGAATTTTGGAAGCAAGCGCAGCATTCACAGTGACACAAAACGACGCTCTTGTTTCTGCAGCCGGTGGACAAGATCAGATCTTCTTGTATCCAAACTTTTTAAGTTCAAAGAATGTCACTTATTGATCGTAAAGCGGGTTAATGGTACAGAATTGATGTAAAATAAAAAAACTGAAAAGAAAGGGGGGGAAAAAAGCAAACTAATCCGTGAAATGATGAGTTAGAGTGGCAAACTCACCTCATGTTACTCCCTTCGACCCTAATTATGAGACCTCATTTGTAATCTACAAATGAGGTCTTATAATTAAGACCGGAGGTAATATAATATTTACTGTAATTACAATCAGGTTCTAATGAAGGGATTTAATTATATTAAAGTCCATTAACAAGTGAAGAATAAGTAATGAGAAGTTTCAGAGTAGAAAATAACACAAAACGACGCTCTTGTTTCTGGGGCCGGTGGACAAGATCAGATCTGCTTGTATCCAAGCTTTTAAGTTCAAAGAACGTCACTTATTGATCATCAAGCGGGTTAATGGAATAGAATTGATGTAAAATAAAAAAACTGAAAGGGAAGAGGGGGAAAAAGCAAACTAATCCGTGAATTGATGAGTTAGAGTGGCAAACTCAACTCATGTTACTGCCTTCGACCCTAATTATAAGACCTCATTTGTAATCTACAAATGAGGTCTTATAATTAAGACCGGAGGTAATATAATATTTACTGTAATTCCAATCAGGTTCTAATGAAGGGATTTAATTATATTAAAGTCCATTAACAAGTGAAGAATAAGTAATGAGAAGTTTCAGAGTAGAAAATAACACAAAACGACGCTCTTGTTTCTGGGGCCGGTGGACAAGATCAGATCTGCTTCTATCCAAGCTCTTAAGTTCAAAGAATGTCACTTATTGATCGTAAAGCGGGTCAATGGAACAGAATTGATGTAAAATAAAAAAACTGAAAAGAAAGGGGGGGAGGAAAGCAAACTAATCCGTGAATTGATGAGTTAGAGTGGCAAACTCACCTCATTTTACTGCCTTCGACCCTAATTATAAGACCTCATTTGTAATCTACAAATGAAGTCTTATAATTAAGACCGGAGGTAATATAATATTTACTGTAATTCCAATCAGGTTCTAATGAAGGGATTTAATTATATTAAAGTCCATTAACAAGTGAAGAATAAGTAATGAGAAGTTTCAGAGTAGAAAATAACACAAAACGACGCTCTTGTTTCTGGGGCCGGTGGACAAGATCAGATCTGCTTGTATCCAAGCTTTTAAGTTCAAAGAACGTCACTTATTGATCGTAAAGCTGGTTAATGGAACAGAATTGATGTAAAATAAAAAAACTGAAAGGAAAGAGGGGGAAAAAGCAAACTAATCCGTGAATTGATGGGTTAGAGTGGCAAACTCAACTCATGTTACTACCTTCGACCCTAATTATGAGACCTCATTTGTAATCTACAAATGAGGTCTTATAATTAAGACCGGAGGTAATATAATATTTACTGTAATTCCAATCAGGTTCTAATGAAGGGATTTAATCATATTAAAGTCCATTAACAAGTGAAGAATAAGTAATGAGAAGTTTCAGAGTAGAAAATAACACAAAACGACGCTCTTGTTTCTGGGGCCGGTGGACAAGATCAGATCTGCTTGTATCCAAGCTTTTAAGTTCAAAGAATGTCACTTATTGATCGTAAAGCGGGTTAATGGAACAGAATTGATGTAAAATAAAAAAACTGAAAAGAAAGAGGGGGAAAAAGCAAACTAATCCGTGAATTGATGAGTTAGAGTGGCAAACTCAACTCATGTTACTGCCTTCGACCCTAATTATAAGACCTCATTTGTAATCTACTAATGAGGTCTTATAATTAAGACAGGAAGTAATATAATATTTACTGTAATTGCAATCAGGTGCTAATGAAGGGATTTAATTATATTAAAGTCCATTAACAAGTGAAGAATAAGTAATGAGAAGTTTCAGAGTAGAAAATAACACAAAACGACGCTCTTGTTTCTGGGGCCGGTGGACAAGATCAGATCTGCTTGTATCCAAGCTCTTAAGTTCAAAAAATGTCACTTATTGATCGTAAAGCAGGTTAATGGAACAGAATTGATGTAAAATAAAAAAACTGAAAAGAAAGAGGGGGAAAAAGCAAACTAATCCGTGAATTGATGGGTTAGAGTGGCAAACTCAACTCATGTTACTGCCTTCGACCCTAATTATAAGACCTCATTTGTAATCTACAAATGAGGTCTTATAATTAAGACCGGAGGTAATATAATATTTACTGTAATTCCAATCAGGTTCTAATGAAGGGATTTAATTATATTAAAGTCCATTAACAAGTGAAGAATAAGTAATGAGAAGTTTCAGAGTAGAAAATAACACAAAACGACGCTCTTGTTTCTGGGGCCGGTGGACAAGATCAGATCTGCTTCTATCCAAGCTTTTAAGTGCAAAGAATGTCACTTATTGATCGTAAAGCGGGTTAATGGAACAGAATTGATGTAAAATAAAAAAACTGAAAAGAAAGAGGGGGAAAAAGCAAACTAATCCGTGAATTGATGAGTTAGAGTGGCAAACTCAACTCATGTTACTGCCTTCGACCCTAATTATAAGACCTCATTTGTAATCTACAAATGAGGTCTTATAATTAAGACCGGAGGTAATATAATATTTACTGTAATTCCAATCAGGTTCTAATGAAGGGATTTAATTATATTAAAGTCCATTAACAAGTGAAGAATAAGTAATGAGAAGTTTCAGAGTAGAAAATAACACAAAACGACGCTCTTGTTTTTGGGGCCGGTGGACAAGATCAGATCTGCTTATATCCAAGCTTTTAAGTTCAAAGAATGTCACTTATTGATCGTAAAGCGGGTTAATGGAACAGAATTGATGTAAAATAAAAAAACTGAAAAGAAAGGGGGGGAGGAAAGCAAACTAATCCGTGAATTGATGAGTTAGAGTGGCAAACTCACCTCATGTTACTGCCTTCGACCCTAATTATAAGACCTCATTTGTAATCTACAAATGAGGTCTTATAATTAAGACCGGAGGTAATATAATATTTACTGTAATTCCAATCAGGTTCTAATGAAGGGATTTAATTATATTAAAGTCCATTAACAAGTGAAGAATAAGCAATGAGAAGTTTCAGAGTAGAAAATAACACAAAACGACGCTCTTGTTTCTGGGGCCGGTGGACAAGATCAGATCTGCTTGTATCCAAGCTTTTAAGTTTAAAGAATGTCACTTATTGATCGTAAAGCGGGTTAATGGAACAGAATTGATGTAAAATAAAAAAACTGAAAAGAAAGGGGGGGAGGAAAGCAAACTAATCCGTGAATTGATGAGTTAAAGTGGCAAACTCAACTCATGTTACTGCCTTCGACCCTAATTATAAGACCTCATTTGTAATCTACTAATGAGGTCTTATAATTAAGACAGGAAGTAATATAATATTTACTGTAATTCCAATCAGGTTCTAATGAAGGGATTTAATTATATTAAAGTCCATTAACAAGTGAAGAATAAGTAATGAGAAGTTTCAAAGTAGAAGATACACAAAACGACGCTCTTGTTTCTGGGGCCGGTGGACAAGAACAGATCTGCTTGTATCCAAGCTTTTAAGTTCA